GTTGGCCATGCCCACCCAGTCACATGGCTGACAAGCCACTCCCACCAGGTCACATGGCTGGCAAGCAACTCCCATAAAGCAGGCCACACCTACAGAAGAGGTTCTAAACAATTTTGAAACCCACCACTGGGTCCACACCTCACAGGGGGGGCAACTTGATTTTTAATGGGGGCAATTTGAACCTTGTTTAAACCAAGTTAATGGTTTTTTGGGCTTCCTCCTCATGAGTAGAGTTCACTTTTTGAGTAAAGTAAAAATTATATGTCATGGGAGGGGCATCGGGATTTTAGAGATGCTTAGGTGGGGCATGGTCAAAAAAAGATTGGGAAATACTGACATAGATAAAGGAAAGGTTTTTTGTATACTGTCCCTCTGTCTCTCTCCTTTGTTTGACTCAGCCTTCCATCCTTCTCAGGCTGGTAAAATGAGGACCCAGATTGTTAGGGGCAGTATGTTGCCTCTGTAAACTGCTTAGAGAGGACTGTAAAACACTGCGAAGCAGTATGTAAGTCTAAACGCTATTACTATTGCTTGGCCTATTGTTAGTTCAATGATTTTTTTACCCTTAAATGGCTGACATGCTAACTTGTAACCCACATGATGCTTTACAAAGTCATCACATCTACTAGATATCATTGATTTAACCTAATCCCACCAAAACAGTTGCCTAGGGTTCATTCTAGCCCAAGAAGTCTAAGGATAAAATCTTGAAAAGTCCATGATCTGGTTATGGGCAAGCAGAATGCATCAAAAGCTAACAGCCGTATGCATTAGTTTCAGTATTTAGGCAAAAAGAAGCACTATGGTAACAGACTTTTAAATGGTGAGCACCAAGATAAATCAGATCCCAGCTTGGATATTCTTAAATATGAAAAACCAATCAGGTTTTCTGTGGAAATACCCAATCTGAGATTTCTGGCTCCAGTAATGATTTGTTTTATAAATAATCCACCAACAAATACAGCAAACAGCCAGCAAAACATAGAAATTCCCTTCTACACTAAAATCAACCAAATGACATCTTTATTTCTCCAGGACTTGCACAAAGAACTTCCTAAGTCAGCCCCAATGCCTTTTCTTCACAAGAGTGTCCATTAACTGTAAATCACCATACTATATCACTACTGCTCCATAGTATGCTTTCAACATAGTTCAGGAACCTTTTAAAATGACTTGATGTTTCCTAATAGAAAAGAGAAATGATTCAGACTATATGTGCCCTTCCTGGGATATTCAAAATTATGTGGTGTAATACGCTAGAAGCATTGTTCAAAAGATTCTGTAGATGGTGATGAATAACATTTATGGCATATGTGGGAATGAATTAAGATTGGCAATTACACACCTTTGCAATGTATAAGTAAAAAGAAACCACAATGCTAATAGCTGAGAAAACATTCTGTTAAGGATTACTGGGGCTTGTCTGTTCAAACAACATTCTTCTGCCACCTGCTGGGATCATTTGTTACTTAATTTGCTCTGGCCATCTAAAAAATCAGAATAAATCAAATAGAACCATATAAATCATATAATCCAATCCTTTGTTCAATGCAGGAATTAAAATATGTATGACAGATGGGCATTTAGAAATATTTGAAAGTCTTCAGAAAAGAATCTACTATTGTTTTAAGCATTATTTTGTATACTTAACAGATTTTAAAGTCAAAAGATTCTTCCTAATATTCAGTCTGAATCTTTCAACCCTTGCCTGTTCCTCAGTCAATAGAAAATATGTCTGATCCTTCATGCATCTGAGCCATTATCATATTTTCTCTTTTCATCTGCCAGTTAACATGCTCAGCTGTTTTTAACTGCGCCTTATTGGGTTTGGTATTAATATAGGTATTAATATCATTTAAATCCTTACCAATTTATTCATTTTCCTTATAAAATCTGGTACTCAAAACTGAACACATGATTCCAAAAATACAGTATATAATTACAATTGTATATGGGATTATAATTATTTCTCATTATCTGGATGCAGGTTTTGCATAGCTTTATCCATATGTCATCTAGTTCAATCTCCTGCTGAGCAGGAAACCTTACCTTGTATGAATTATTTTGGTTCCTCTAACAGAGAGGAAAATTGCCAGAAAGGAGGAGTTTACTAGGAGAAGGCTGCCATGCAGAGGAAGGCAGAGATAGTCCTTGACCTATGACTACAAGAGTGTTAAGTGAGCTTCACCACATTCTACCCAATCCATGACATCTCCTGGTAAGTGACATCTAGTTGGCCACTCCCACCCAGTCACATGACTGCCAAGCCACTCCCACAACACAGGCCACACCTACAGAACAGGTTCTAAAAAAATTGAAACCCACCACTGGGCCAAGGTCATCTTCAGTGGTGAGAGCAATTTCTACCTGACTGGGAATCAGTGCAATAGGTATGTCAGAAGATTTCTAGTTGAAGAATTTAGACCGACAGCCTGAATCTAACTGTGAAGCATCCATTGCACATGATGATCTGGGGCTGTATCGCTGCTTCTGGTATTGGTCAGATACATCGTGCAGGGAATCATGAATTGCAAGCAGTATGTTGAAGTCCTGGAAAAGATCATGCTTCCTTCAGCTCAGCAACTTGTAGGGAAGGACTTTTACTTCCAGGGTGACAATGCTCTTTGTCATTGAGCCAAGTCCTTCCAGCAGTGGATGAAGAAGCATGGTGTTTGACTCCTGGATTGGCCAGCTCAGAGCCGGGATTTGAACCCAGTTGAGAACTTGTGGGCCAAGATTGGTTATGAAATAAGCAAGAAGCATCCAAAGACCAAGCAGGAACTGATTGAATCCATTATTGCAGCCTGGCACCACATTGTCACCAAAGATCATGTGCAAAGGCTTATACAGTCTATGCCGAAGCGATGCTGCCTGGTGATAAGCAATAAGGATGGGCCAATTTCATATTAGTAACCATGTTTGGTTACCCAAACAGTCCTTTTCAGGGCCACAAACAATAAAAAATATTAACAAAACACTAGCATCGGCCTTAGTAATTGCAGCACGTATGCCACTGGGTATGCATCAGTTAATTTGTTTTCATAATCATTGTAAGCATGCATTATAAGCATGCAAGAAAATTCACAATCCCCATCCAAACAGCACCAAATTGCAAAAAGCTTATGCTTTTCACTTAAAAAACCCTGGTATTTATTTCAATATAACAATATTTGCATAGTTAGCATAAAATATCATAAAATCAATGGTGGGTTGCAGGCAGTACGCTCCAGTGTACCAGAGCTTGGCCGGAGCACCGAATACCATAATGTTATGGTGTTCCAGAAAGCCTAACCGACCTGTCTTTTAAGGCTTCCGCACACGTGCCTGTTGGGTACTGTTCCTACATGATGCTCCGCTGAGCAGCTGGAGTACCGCGGAGGCTTGCGGAAGCGCTACTGACAGGAACGATGCGTCCATCTGGGCAACGTTGGGCCTATTTCAACCGTACCAGTTGGAACGTACCGGTTGGAACGGGATCCGGAACCCACCACTGCATAAAATCCTATCCAAAAAAATGTCATAAACCATAAACTGTAAAGCGTGCAGGACTTTTTCACACATAATATATCCAATTATATTTCCTTAACTTCCCTGTGCAACAGATAAACAGCTTTCTAATCTAGTTAAAAATGTCATGTCCCCACTCCCCCAAATCCCTTTACTTTGCATTTCTCACTAGCTTCTCTGAGGTTTACTCTTTAACTTTATTCCTATAAGGCTTAAGCTATACTTGATAATTCTTCTTAATTTGCTTCCAATTTCTTGTATATCTCATTTTGGTTTTTCAGTTTGTCACCAGACTTGTTATTCATCCATATAATCCTCAACGCTGTTCCTATTTTTTTTTGTTTTCCAAAGAAGCAGCACACAAGAAACGACATTGACAAAAAAGCAAACTTGAACCTGAGTGTCCTCACATTTATTTTGATACTTTTATCTCTAAAACATACTCACAGCTCGTTTCTTCTACAAATATTTCTAATTCTTCTAGTTCTTATGAAGTTCTTTTGGCTCAGACAGAAACTGCTTTCCCAGGTGTATTAAGCCAACAATATTGGAAGCCTTTCTTCCTTTTTACCTTTGGTATAAAGTACTTTGTAAATAAAAGCAGTGTTCCATCACTGAGCAATGGAATATTAAGGACATTTTCTTTTTGTCTGGTTGTCCTTCTTAATTAGACTGACATCACAGTTTATGTGAATAAACTATCAGAATTCTCTACAGAATTCTGCAAGATATAAAAAAGAGTTGCAGTTTAGCATAGTCTGATTCAGAACATGGCAAATCAATTGTTATTAGAGTATGCTGAATGCAATTATTTTGATTAAGACAGACTTTGTATTTGTTGCTATTTAACACGAATTCGTTAAACCAGCCACAATACATTGCAGTGTGTTGCATACGTTAATAGGATATTAACGAGCTGGAAAGGGAGCTTGGATGTCTTCGAGTTGAACGCTACTTATTCCAAAGCAAAGTCGACTGCCATCAAGAGGAAAAGCTGCCTGAAGAAACTTTATGAAACGGTTTTCCTCGTGCGTTGCGTTTTCACAAGCTTTCCTTCCAAACGCGGTAAAAGGAATCTCAAAAAACCCGCACACAAAACCCTACGCTTTCGGATCCCCAATGAACACGCCGTAGACTCCACGAGGTCTGTACGGGACGATAAAGTTTTGCCTGCCTAGAAAGGATCTGAGGCGAAAATCACCGGAAGTGATTATTTCTTTCTCTAAGTATCTAACTTTCTACTTCCCCCTTTTTGAGAAGGTGGGGGAGGGAAATGGAGTAACAGGCATCCTCGCGAGAGTTGCTTCGTTTCTGTAGGATTTGGCGTAATCGGCGAAGTGCTGCTTGTTAGGGAAGGGTAAGTTAAGATCGAGAAGACAAGAACGCGACCCGTTGCGTTGCAGGTTGGGAGGGAACGCGCGATTGGGGAGGGGAGGGGAGGGGGGATGGCGAGAGAGCTCGTGCCATACTGGCCGTTGACTGGTGTCCCCGCGACAGCTTAGCTGCCACGTGCAGTTGGAGATGGGTGGGTGGGATGGTCCTGATATGAACGATGTCCCTTCGCAAGCCCCAGCTAGCTTCGGAATTAAACCCAGGATCTGTGTTCAGGAGGACCTAGAGAGGGTGGGTGTCGCAAGAGTGCTCTCTGGGAGGATCATTTTCATGCCTTAGAGCAATATTCCTCAATCGTGGCCATATTAAGGTGGTGGACTTCGACTCCCAGAATTCCTCAGCCCAGCATGTTAGCTGAGGAATTCTGGGAGTTGAAGTCCGCCCATCTTAAAATGGCCAGAAGCACTGCCTTTATACAGTAGTTCAAAATTCATCTCTTTTCCCAAAATATGAGAAATGAGCCAACAAATTGGGAAGAACTGTTACTGCCTGCTTTGCTGTTGAGCAAAGAAAGAAAAGTCCCTAATTAATAAGAACCCAAAGTTGTGCCACTTAGGTTGACTTCGCTTGTTAGAAGGTTGCAAAAGGGGATCACATCACCCAAGGACGACACCGCACCATCATAAACATGAGTCAATTGCCCGTGTTGGATTTGAATTTTGATCACGTGACTATGGAGGATGCTGCAAACAGCTGGCAAGTGTGAAAAATAGACATAATTCATTTTTCATTGCTGTTGTAATTTTGGACGGTCACTAAACTGTTGTAAGTCAAGCACTATCTGTATTGCTTCTTATAAATATTTTTCAGTGGAGTACATATTTGAAATTTTATGGATAAATTTTGAATGGTTCTTAAAAAATAATACTGTTATTCACATAATTACTGTTCCGGAGTATGAAAAAATTTAAAAATACTGATTTACCAGAATGCTAACTTGCCATTTAAAAAAAAATAAAAATGGTGTATTTCTGTAAGCACGCTAGTGTCCAACATCTCTTCCCCAGCAGTGGTATCTGCTTCTGTATTGTGGTAGTTTGGTTCTATTTGGTTCTATAACTCAGTTCCTTCCTTTAGTTTCTAATAGTGTGGCTAAAGCCAGTCCTATAATTATTGCTTTTATATTTTGCTTTTGGCACTTGGTATTTTATGGAATTATTAAATCTTCGTTTCTTGGTTGAAAGAATTAACCTTAAGAATTTTAGAATGTAATAGATTTAAGCTTCATAACTCCATTTACCAAGGTCTGACTTTCTTTCACTAGGTGTCAGTGTTTGTAACTTTTGAGAATCACATGTGGAAGAAGACATGGAATATATGAAAGAGTATACTCCCGTTCACCAGGGGAACATGTGAGTAACATAACTTTAAAAGTCAAACTAAACATGTAGAAAATATGAAATCATAGGATTAAATGTATGCAGGGGATGGCCTATTTGAAAACGCTATAACAGACTGTCATTGCATATTGAAACATAAATTGTTAGGTGACAAACTTAAATCAGGGTGTTATAATGATTTTTAAGCAGTGCAGTGACTGGATAGAATAGTACACAAGGTGAAACACAGAATCCCAGATCTGTAGGTGAGACAGGTAAATTAAAGGCGGAAAAAAGAAGCGACAAGTTAACTCTATATTGATGCTAAGAACATGGACATATGAACAAAGTAACCAGATGTCAAAAAGGACTTAAAGTAGTTCTTAATTTTATTCTTTGATTTGATGAGGAGGGTACTGTTCCATGAGGTCTATCAAGTATCTGCATAAATGGTTTGGCTTTACATCTTAAATATCTTCTCTTACTTTCTTAAAGTGCGGTTGTATTTTCAAATGATTCTGAATATAAGCCATTTGGAGATTAATAATAATATAAACAAATTCTGTAGCATATGCATTTGTGCAACAAAAGATTCTGAAAATGAGAATTACACTACAACAGATTTAATCCTTGGGATACCATTATTTATACATAGATTTTAATGTTGCTTACTTAGTTTTATATTCAATGTAAAATGCATTAGTATTCCAGAATTATTATATTAAAAATGGTAACAAAATGATAAAGTTGCTTTTTCTAGTAAGAGTGTACTGATTGCTTGTGATTCAGATTTGATTCACTGATTCAATTGGGACTTTCTGTCTTGATTCAGAAATATGCTTTGATGTGCAGCTTCAGTCAAACCATCCTGGTATTTGAATCTCTGAATCAAAATTGTACTGATAGTTGTGTAACATTCCTGGCACTACGTAGAAAGCAAAGTTATGTATTCGTTATCATCTTGTTTTTTTAATAAACAATGTGTTTTATTTTAATGATAATTGTATGTGTTATAGCTTATGTTGCCAGTGTGGCATTGCAATCCCACCAAACCCAGCCAATATGTGTGTAGACTGTTTAAGAACTCAAGTGGATATCACTGAGGGGATTCCTAAGCAAGTCACTGTTCATTTCTGCAAACAGTGTGAAAGGTACCATCTACTTTCTGGATTTTAAATTAACAGCTATGTTTAGATGTTATGATAGGCCAGTTTTTTAAATAATTTAGATTAGAATTGTAAATCTTTTATATGCTACACAAGCACTCCCACTTAGTTCCACTTGCCAGCAAGTACTCATACCAAACCGGGAAAACCATAGGGTCTGTGTGCAAATGAATAATTATAGCTTATTTTCCTTTGCTTCTGATTAAATGTAGATTTCAAATTTACTGAATTACCAAATTACCAAACATTTGTATCAAGAAATGAAATAGCAGTATTTTTAAATTGAAATTCTGTTAGCTCAAATTCTAAAACATTTCTGATATTCATCCAGAGTAAATTAAGTTCTGTGAATTTAAATACAAAGATTTGTGTAATGGGGTCTATTGCTGATAGAAAAGCCCATTGATTGAATCACTGCTCAGATTTAGATTAAAATAATGTAGTTAAAAAATAAAATAAATTTTGTGAATTCAGTGGAACTTTTTAAGATTGTACTATAAGTTATGTTTTATTACCATTGAAATTAATAAAATTAGTCATTGCTACATGTTAAAAGTCTTCTTGATGTCCATTACTCTAAAACATACTTTTATATTTAATAAAAAAAATGTATGCACTTGTGTTATCAAAACTGACTGCTGGGGGTAGGGAGGGAGGTTGCCTTAAACATAAATGATTCAATTGATCCCCCCACCCCTTTCTTTATATTTCAGATATCTTCAACCACCAGCGGCTTGGCTACAGTGTGCCTTGGAATCAAGAGAACTACTTTCATTATGCCTTAAAAAAATTAAGGCTTCTCTTAGTAAGGTTAGTCATACATATGTTTATTTTTGTATGAATTTTACTTAGGTTGGATACTGCTATCACTCTTGAACAAAAAAGTTCAGTACCCTGAAGTATCGCTCAGACTTTTTTCAACTTTTTGCTACTTCCAAAATCCAGAATTCCTAGTCACTGTGGACCAACATACTTGAAAACAAATGATTTAAGTTAGGTAATTATAACATGCACTGAGTTTATTTTTTAATATACAGAAAGCATGTGTATTTTTACTCGTGGTAACATTAGTTAAAAGCTAAACTTGAGTCAATATGTTTCCGTCTCTGTTATGTTTGCCTTTTTGAGCATTCATACAATAATCATGCTGTTTCCTCCTAATAGGTTCGGTTGATCGATGCAGGATTTGTATGGACTGAACCACATTCTAAAAGACTTAAAGTAAAGTTGACTATACAAAAAGAGGCAAGTAAATTATTATTTTTTTCAAAATTACAGAATTAATGTGCTTTATCAAAAACCCAAGTTATGCTAACTAGGAAAATTTGAGGATATTCTTGCTCATTATTTGTTAAGTTTCTAATAATGATTTACATGCATTAAAGGTATTTTCTCTAGGAATGTACAGTATAGTCCATAACCTTTGTGGTTGGACTGTTACAAAGCTGCCTCCAAGGGGCTGGCCTTAAACATAACTCAGAAGCACAGATTGGTCTAGATGCAGCAGCTTGGCTGCTGATTAGGGGAATAAGTTTAATTATGTGATGTGTATATTGAAGTTGCTACAATGAATACTGATAACTTCCAAGATACTGTTTTTAACCTTTGAAGTCATACATGGCTTGGCATCATATACATGGCAGGATTGTCTCTCCTAAGCAGAACTGGAACACTGCATTGATTCTTAGGAAGACTGTCAGCTTACCCATTTGATATCAATTTAAGTATGTAGGAACTGGGTCACTTTTAGTAGAAAAAACACTTCGTACTGGGAGATAGAATGAATGTCTATCTTGTCTGTGTTTCATGAAACTCTGAAAACCATATTATTCCAATGGGTTTTTTATGTAGATGGTGGATTTAGGTTGTAGTTACACTTTTGCAATGTATTTTGAAATTGGGCAGTATACAAATATTATTCTAAACAAATAAATTGCAAAACATCTCATTTCCCAATAAATATTTACAGACCCCTCACATCCTGGACATAAACTGTTTCAACTCCTACCCTCAAAATGACGCTATAGAGCACTGCACAACTGTGTCTAGAACAACAGACACAAGGACAGCTTTTTCCCCGAACAACATCACTCTGCTAAACAAATAATTCCCTCAACTCTCTCAAACTATTTACTAAGGCTGCACTACTATTAATCTTCTCATTGTTCCTATCACCCATTTCCTCCCACTTAAGACTGTATGATTGTAACTTTGTTGCTTTTATATTTACAATTTATATTAATTGTTTCCTAATATAATTTGATTGCTTATTTGTATCTTATGACTATCATTATTTGTAGTACCTTATAATTCTTAACAAATGTATCTTCTTTTATGTACACTGAGAGCATATGCACCAAGACAAATTCCTTGTGTGTCCAATCACACTTGGCCAATAAAGAATAAAGAATTCTATTCTAAACATGTATAGATTTGGGAGTTTATGCAGATCAATAAAACATTAAGGAATCCTTTCTTTGTAGTAGGTTCATATTATAAGCATCTCCAGATTCCTCTGCAAAGTCTTAAATTCAAACTGAGTAATTATTCTCCATCTACATATACACCACTAATATTTTTTTTACGATAGATTGATTTTTTTTTACTCATTTATTTGTTTAATTAAAATATTTATATCGCTATCCATCTTCTAAGCAACCCTGGGTAGCTCTCAGTCAAAAGTCAAGACAATGTATAATATCATATAAATTAAACCAGATTAAAACCAAGCTGGCAACCTTCTAATGTGTAATTATCCAATCTTATCTCAGGGTTGCCAAACTTTAAGGAACAGAAGGATAGCGACTTAGATGAAAAAGACACACTTCCTAGTTCCTATCCGTTAGCAATATTTAGGGGAAGGGCCTGGGAGCATGTCCACTCATTGTCATTTAGCCCAATCCCTACTTAATGCAGGCTATTGCCATACTAGAGTTTCAAAATGGCCTCAGTCAAGTCAGCTTCAGGGTTGACAACAGGCTCCCATTATAGTATCTCTGACAGATTACCAATCATCTGTTTGTTCAAGAATTTCAGCAAAGGAATACTGATCATTGTGTTATGCTGAATCAATAAATTCCTCCTATTTTCTGGACTAAAAGTATTCCCTTGTAGGTTTAATCCAGTCTTGTCTTCTATGAAAAGTATTCCCTTGCTTCTAGTCTTGTCCGCCGTGAAAATAGAGAATAAATCCCCTCTGTCTTCTATATGACACCCCTTATTGAAGATTGTGTAACATTTGAATATATTTTCCCTCAAGTTGTTTCTTCCGTAGGGTAAATGTATTTTTAACTATTCGTTGTAGTACATAGTTTCCAGATATTTCATCATTTATCTGTGCTTTATGAAAGTCTTCTAGCAGAAGGAAAAATGACAACCATAACTACATGTCTGATAAGTTTTGGAGAAGGAAAAAAATTAGGGAGAGATGTATTTATCCATTGAGTTTGCAAAACCACCTATTTGCCAGTTGACTCAAGGTGGCAAATCTTATTTGTTTTCACTTAGGTAATGAATGGTGCAATTCTTCAGCAAATCTTTGTAGTAGAGTATATTGTTCAGTCACAGATGTGTGAAGACTGCCATCGAGTTGAAGCTAAGGACTTCTGGAAATCAGTGGTTCAAGTTAGGCAAAAGGTATGTATATGCGTGTATGTATCACTAATAATAAATGCCGAAGACATAATTCATCTGCTAAAATTTCATCTGATGTGTAGAAATGTAGAAATATACCTACATATACCAAAACACAAATATTCTTGCTTGGTTGTTGTTGTTTTTCCTTACTTAGCAAGCAACTATGGGAATCTTTCAAACCAAATAGTGGAATATGAGTGCTGTAAATAAACAAATTGATTCCAGGTTTCTCTAGAAAACGTATTTATTTTGAGCTATATCTTTATTCCTGCTTTTGTCATTTGTACGGGCTACATAGTTTTGGAAGTGAAGCGAAATGATAGCTCTCATAGTCTTTTTTAAATGCCTTTAATCCCTTTACAGGAATCTAAACTCAATCGATGTATAAATTTTGTTTTATTTATAGACACTGCATAAAAAAACATTCTATTATTTGGAGCAATTAATTTTAAAGCACAGGCTTCACCAGAATACACTTCGGATCAAAGAGATTCATGGTAAGTAATATGCTTCTACATTCTTTATGTAAAGCTCTGTGTGCCTTTGAGTGATTGGAGTTTCAATATTGATAGCATGAGTTACTGGCAGTCAAGAATAAGATGCTTGCTTTTTAAAGAAACTGGGTCACAGGAAAGTCAGTTGAGGATTATTATTTGTTTGTTAAATAAATAAATTTACATTGCTGCCTAACTATCTTTAGGGTAGAATTAAAATTTTCTTAATATGTTTATATAAAGAAGTCAACGTATGTTAGTCTATGAAAAGATCAAAAAAACTTTTCACGGAAATCCAGGAAGATAAGATCCTTTATAAATAAATCTTCATTTCAATTTCATTTACCTACCTACAGATGGTCTGGATTTCTATTTTGCTTCCAAACAGCATGCTCAGAAAATGGTGGACTTCCTTCAGTGTACTGTACCTTGTAGGTAAGACTTTGTTCTTTAAATCATCCATTGCACATAGTTGTTGAAGGCATTGTACATATATTGGAAAAAAAGTAAACAAACCCCAAGTTGTTAAACTTTTGGAAGGAAAAAAAAAGTCCATGCACTTGGTTTATTTTCTGATGTACCCCAGATCATCACTAACAACCCATAGCAGACATACTCATCTTTAAGTACTGTCTTGTTTGTCTGATATTATGTTTGAAGATTTACCTATTACAGTTCCAATAATGATAATAGAAATATAGTGAAACATTAGATCTGGCAATCTCCCAAACAAGAACAGTGAAATGTACTTGGAAGAAGATTTCTCCTTTCAAGATAAGATACTGAGAGAGTCACTTTACAAATGACATGTGCAACATATAAATTTAATAAATAAGTAAAGTTATACCTTTATATCATGGGAGCAAAATCCAATACATGTTCTTGCATTTTATCTCTGAAGTTTTTCTTCTGTCTTTTGGAAAGAGAGAAAGATTATGCTCTGAAAATTACTATTAGAATGAGATCCTTGCAGTTTTACTTTTTAATGAATATTTAACAGTCGGAATTGTTCATATATTAACCATTATGGAGATGAGAGTTTATATCTTTGGAGAATGTTGATTCTTTTCAAATGTCCTCTTTCAATTTTCACTTTTACAAACTAGAAGGGATTCAAGGAATACTGCCAAGATTTAGATTTGTAATTGTGAATAGGTCTTCTTTGCTACCTTATTTTACAGGATGGGAAGGGAAAGATTTTTATTGTGAAATCTAATTCATCTATTAATCTAATCCAAATATGATTTTTGTTGTTGTAAGCTTATGAGGATGTGTTCATTATGATTGTCTTATGAGGATCTGTTGATTATGATTGTCTACAAACCAGACCATCATGACTTTTTCAGAAAACCATGATTTTTTTAAAAATGAATTATACCTATAGTCTTATTTGCTCTGATTTGAGTTTGTCGTTTTTTTTAAATTTCAGAATTAAATCATCACAGCGTTTGATTTCTCATGACATTCACAGCAATACATATAATTACAAAAGCACTTTCTCTGTTGAGATTGTTCCAGTATGCAAGGTATTTTCTGTCTTTGTGGATTATTACACATCCTTTTTGTCCGGAGTTGGATGTTCCTTACAGATTGTATTTATTCTTGTACATGTATTTATTCATTTATTTATTTACTTATTTATTACATTTATATGCTGCCTAATCCACTGTGGGCAGCATATAATGGATACTATTCACTATGAGAGAAAAAGAAGTGAGAAATGGACTCTGAATATGGGGTTCCTGTAAGAGCATTAATACATTATTTGCAGTTCTCAGAGATGGATAATCTGTGGCTCTTTGGAGATTGCCTTTTAATTTCAACCAGACTACATTAACTAGATGTGGTCAGAAGATGGTACTTGTGTTCTAACCACTTCAGATAATTTTTTTCATTCCTGACTTACATCTTGATGTCAGTAGAGTTTTTGGTATGAAATCTCATAAGTAAGTGCAGTTTAATTCAATTGAATGTTCTTCCAACCACAGTATACAGACGGTAGCAGCAACTATCTAAAATTTAAAAATTCGATATATAGATTTGTATGTACATACTTCATCAACTGCAGTGGTTAATAAGCTAATCTAAACACATCAATTTTAATACTATTTAAATCTCCATTTAGCATTAATTAGCTGATATTAATTAATTCATTAACCTTATTGCATTAATTCTTTAATACCCGGACACATATCGGTGTACTTTTCTGATCTCCGTATGTCTTTCAGGATTGTAATTTTTATTAAAACAGTTTAAGATAGAAAATTGAAATAAATACCATTTTTTGTTACTGTTCTTCAATTGCAGGACAATGTTGTGTGTTTGTCACCAAAACTGGCTCAAAGCCTTGGCAATATGAGCCAGATTTGCATCTGTGTCCGGGTAACCAGTGCTATTCACATCATTGATCCAAGTACTCTTCAAAGTAAGTTTGTTGATACTTTCTGTATGAACTGTAATCTTACAATACCAAAAAGAAAAACTTAGCATGAATCTTAATGTCAATACAGTCCTAAAGCATTTTTTAAAAACTGAACTACTTTTAAGCTTTGAATCTACAGTTGAAAATGCATGTATCTTTGACATTAATGTATTGTTTTCATGATTGCGGATTCAAGGAATCTAAATACATTTTAAAAAGTAAAATATTATTAAAAAAATAAAAACATGTTTTTCAAAAGTTTAAAAATGTAAATTGATAATAAAATAATGTAATAAATGAAAACCTGCTAACCAGATACCACCTTACAGCTGTTTTAATGCAGATTCTTAGATTCTGATCATAGGCATGGTATCATTCAAGATTCTTCACAAGAGTTTTGTCCTTGAAATCAAAAGGACCCAAAACACAGAAAGGCAAATCTTGAAATAAACTCATCCAGTCATGCTTTGATATTATATGCAAATACACTTACTCATCTACAATTAAGCTGTGAATGAACAATATGGACCTCATATTTGCCCTTAGCAGCTAGAGTCCTAGGTTTCCAGCTATCTGAATTTCTAAGACATTAGAACTTAACTAGAAGAAATACTTGTTGCGATTCCTCCATAATTTGTGTGTTCTATTTCCCCATTCAAAGCCTAAAAACTACTTCACCAATATCAGGTTATTAACCAGAACACCATATCAGCATCAGTGGTGGGTTCCGGATCCCGGTGCAACTGGTACGGTGCAACGGGCCCGGCGTCCACCACATGAACACGCACAGCACGCGCACATGTATGCAGCGCATGCAAGCGTCCTTCTCTCTTGTGATGCCTCCGTGAGCCTCCGCAACACTCCAGCTGCTCCGTGGAGTGTCGCACAGGCACTGTGCATTCTGTGCGCAGAAGCGCCAAAGAGCTCAAATACAGGTAAGGAGCTCAGGCAGGCAGGTGGGCCCTCTGGAGCACCGTAACAGAAAGGTATCCGGTGCTCAGGGCAGGCACCGGTATGCCTGTTCGGGGGCATACCACCTGCAATCCACCATGATCAGCATGTATATCCAGAAATGTCAACAATTGATTCATAAATATCTAATCTGGTTCCTATTTTCTTCTTTTGCTCTTTCAGTTGCAGAAATAGATGGAAATACTTATTGGCGTCATCCTTTTAATAGCTTGTTTCATCCAAAGCAGTTAGAAGAATTTATTGTAATGGATATCAGTAGAACCTATGAACAGAAGCAAAATGCTGGTGCAGGCATGAAATCCAATAAGGTAAGCATATTTGTTTGGTTCTCTGCTAGAAGCTTGAGCAAATCTTGATTCCTGATTAACATTGTTTCTCTTTGCAGGTATATTGCATATAAATATGATAGTTCCAGCGAAGTCCTTGTTTCTTCAGAATGAATTAAATGTTGTCTATTTTTATATAATTAATCTATATAGTTATCTCACCAAAAGTGACTTTGGATGGCATACAACAAAGCTAAAATAACAAAGTAAAGCCACTATTATTAATTGTAAAACAAGAAAAATAAAACAAACGAGGAAATAATAAATATTAATCTATAGCATATCTAATTAGAATTATATTCAGCAGTTAGAGTAACACTCCCAAAAAGATAATAATTTCATCCACAGAGGTATGCTCAGGATTATGCCTATAACTTTCTTTGCTTTTTTAAAGGCTTGATCCAAAATTTGTCATGCTATACTTGGGGGAAATCCTTTAAAATGAAGAGTATTTTGCGATTAATCATGAATAAGCTCAAATGACTTATTCAGATGATTGAAATTATGATAAACTTCAGATTTTATAACTTAGGGGTATGATTAGAATATTTTTATTTAGGAAAACAACTTGTACCACAATCTTTGAATTTATGAAAAGATGGATTCTTGGCTTGCTTTAGAAATATATGCAAACGCTTTATTTTCAATGATGTCATGACAATAAATGTGATACAATTAGTCTTAGAAAGAGACATATGCTATAAATTACTATAATTGTTCTTGTCTAACGTAAGCAAGTTTACACTGAAGAGTAACATTCTGTATTTAAGTATAGGTTATTCCTAGCTTAATTATCACAATTAGTACCAGAATCAGTTGTTGAACAAAGCAGTCATTAAGTGATGCATTACAGGAATACTTCATTCAACAACTACAATCCTGGCAATTCCCCTTGTAGTCATCAAATGAAGTCACGCGTCATTAAGTGGAGAGAGTCCCAAGTAACAAGTACAGGACTGCCTCAGGATGAAGCAGGACCCTAATAAAGGGCTGAATGCTAGGAAACCTCCACAGCAAGGGAAAATGCAGGAAGGTCCAAACAGCTAGGAGTCTCCAGGGGCACACCATAGTATAAAGCAGCTCCACCTACCCAAAAGTAGGGCAGAACGCTCAGGAATCCAAAGGCCAGAAAAAAAGCTAAAGCTTCAGCAGCTGCACCTAAAATGCCCCTTTTTACCTAACTCCTGGAGCTGGTAGAGCTAGCTTTGCGCTGAAATAGCAATAACACTATGACTAATATAACCACAGTGCTTGACAGCCGTCTCTAAGAAGTTCAAAGAGTCAGCGTATTGCCCCCAATAATCTAGGTCCTCATTTTACCCACCTCGAAAGGATGGAAGGCTGAGTCAACTCTGAGCTGGGGAGACCCGAATTCCCAAACTGCAGGCAACCGATGATCAGCAGAAGTCACCTGCAGTACTGCATTTGAACCACTGTGCCACCACGGCTCTTAAATAAAGGAAAAAAACACTTGGCCTCACTTTCCCAAGGTTCTGCCAAGAGAGCATATCTTTCCCAAGTTTGCACAGAGAGCCACTAGTTCTAAAAGGAAAAGTTTTGGCTTAGCTTCCTGTGGGTTAAAACCACAATGCAGATTTCTAGAGGAGATCAGCTTCTGCTTGGTTTTTTAACAATCAAACAAAGCTTTACTTTGGGATTTACAAATAAATCATATATGCATTGTGATAATTTTATTACTTTAGTTTGCAGTTCAGTGCCAAGCCAAATGAGGTCCGTGATTTAGTATTACTAATATACAAAATGACCTTGTTATATTACTTGAAAAACCACATGTGAAAGTAAACTGAGCCTATAGTGGATTTCATGTGTACAGTAGTGATTGCTAAATGGGTGGTGAACACCAAACATGTATTGCTGGAAAAGCCACATGTGAAACTACTAATTGCAGCTTAGAAGATTGAATCATTTGGCTAGAAAGTAATTTGTAATTGTTTTGCTTCAGTTAATGAACTCCTTTTCATGTATGTACTCTTTTTATTTTGACATTTCTAAGCATATCCTTGCGGAAGCCTGGGTTCAGAAAACCTCAGAATTGAATACAGACCATCAGTATTTCTGTCGTACTCACTTGGGGCATCTTCTGAATCCTGGAGATCTTGTATTGGGGTGTGTAATGTTCTGCATCTTTCTCTGCACATACAATGTTATGGTTGATACACATGATAAAATTAAATGGGAGAGGGAAGAGTTGAAAACAAAGTTATTGGGTGGCCAAATTATGGACGTATTCCAGACAGTTTTTCCTATCATGTCCGATTGAGCGCTCATTGGTAAAAGATAGAAAATACTACAGTGCTTTATCTTTGCAGTTTTAAACCAGGTTCCTTATGCTAGTCCAACTCCAAAGTCCACAACCTACATTAAAACGTCTCATTTTAGATATCCCTGCAACTAGAAATTGCATTTGCTTCTAGAAAGAGGGTGTAGAAAGGGGGTCTCTAAAGCCTTGGTAAATCTCTTGGATCAAAGCACATTGGGATTCAATATTTTTATATGCTTTGGAAACTGACACAGATTCTGTCAAGTCTCTCATTAATATTTTAGTTATTTGCATAATGACACATTTTAATTTTTTCATGAAAATGCTCGATGGTAATTAATCCTGGTGTATATTTTCTCCATCCTACTCAATAGTATTGTTTTGGAAATAATATTTTTGTTAAGATTTATAGAATAATAAATGATTAATGTATGTTTTTCATATTTTTATTTTCCAGTTTTGATTTGGTTAATTGTAATCTGAATGATGAATTTGCAAATAAGATGAATCCCCATAATGTTCCAGATGTGGTATGGTTTTATCATTATTTTTTCTTTAAACAAGTTGTTTCTTAAAATTGAAAACATTCATAATTATGGCATAAATTCTAAAATTTGACAGTTTTATTTTAGTTTTGTTTTGCTTTCTTATTTAATTAATTGATTTCTTCTGTTCTATTTATATAGCCATGTATCTTACAATACTGTGTCTAGGTGACTTAAATTTAAAAGCAATACAAATATATTAAAATACAAATAATGTATTAACATCCAAATGTTTTGTTGGCCACAGAATCCCACATAGGCTAGAAATTCTAAAATTTATTGTAAAATACATCTTAATGCACACTAAGAATTCTAACTTGTCTTTATTTTTATATGTATATTTTGGTAGCATAAGAAATTAATTTTGCTTCATGTTATTTTATCTTAGCTAGATGTAGAAATTATATTTGTTTTTCTTTTATGCCCAAGTTCTCTAACAAGCACTATTCATTTTTATTTCTACAAATCTTAAACATGATCATTCTGTCTCCCTGAAGTGCCTGTGAATTTTACATGTTTGTATGAAAAAAATCACAATAAAATTTAATTTAATTTACAATTAAAATTGGGCCAATACTTTTTTTTCAAGTATTTCCTTGTTGTATAAGGGAGAGTGTGTAAGTCCCCAAAGTTACACATGATCTAAAAATCTTATATTCAGACAGCTTGAGTAGTCATTTCCAAATGGTAATTTTTAAAGTTACCACTTCTAGTTTATTTTTTAAATACTTTTAACACAGTCCATTGTCTCCTTATTTATACTTTAAGTCATTTCTTTTTTCCAGGATCAAATTAAGGGTATAGAATAGACTGGTGTAGACATAGGTTTAACGAACTTGCTATTTCATGTCACTTCCACTCTTGATCAAAATATTGGCTCATAATCTGCACTATATGTGAAATGGCTGGAGTATATAGAGAAGGCACTTTTAATGCCTTTAATGCCTTTTTATTCTTTGGAAACTGCTGTAGTAGGGTTTATTATTATTTTGATCTGAAAGGTAAAAATTAAAAATGCTTTCAATAAACAATATATTGGCTTTGCATTTTGCACTGTAAAGAACCAAAATGTCAGTTCTAATAATAGTTTTAGTCAAATTATTTACAAATGTTCTATTTAATAAAAAGCATGGATTTTCAGGCAATCTCAATATTTTTCTTTAGACTGTACTGATCTAGACTTGTTTTTTCCCCTGCACCATTCATAGGTTTTGATTAAAAAAAGTTACGATCGCACCAAGCGTCAACGTCGCAGAAATTGGAAACTGAAAGAATTACAAAGAGACCGAGATAACATGGATACCGATGATGAAAGGTTATGAATTGTTTTAACCTCCTTTTTTATGCTTTATCTTATCTTTTTTTCTACCAGCTTAATCTGCCTACTTGTGCTCGTTTACATTGCTTGCAGAAGATCCGTGTGAAAACTATGTACATGACATATGCATTTATAAATGAAGTCTCACAAAGTTTAGCAAATATAAAAATTGGAGTTAATGTATTTGAGCTACAATTGCATAAAATGGGAAAATCTAGGAATCTTAAATGGTGCTCTGTGTTTTCCCCGAAAAATTTGAGCAGAAAAACACAAATGTGAGGAAAGAGCTTATTCACCTATCTCTTGATGTCCATTTTGATTGAATTTGCACGTTGGCCTGATCATAATTTACGTTGCCTGGTTTTGGCTTGGCTTATTATACAATCTCAATTATTTTTATTCAGAAATAAATTGATCTAGCCAGTAAGGCTATGCAAATTTTTTGAAAAGAGCACCTTGCAAAGCACATTGGCAGAACCAAAGCCCTTTGCAAAGCATTGACACAAAGCACTCCTGAGTGTATTAAAGCAACTAATATTTTTGAAGATTGGTACAGCTGTTTTTAGGGGTTTCTCTGGCTGTCTTATTTATTTGCTTGTGTTGTAACTTCTTCGCTTGATTACTGTCACCAAAGGAAATGTTTCTATGCCTACAATCATAGAGAGCTATGAAAAGTTTTCAGAACAGCCACACAGAGATATAGCTTCATGTGCAGCAGTACATTTTTCAAGTATCCATTCCTAATTCACCAGTTATCATTAGCCAATTGTATTAAGTATGAAGTCACCATTGAAACAAGTTGTTGCTAAGTATAGTGTAAACCAACATGTATATAAACCCAATTTATATACTAAGTTAAACACTGAAGATCACCAGCATTGTATTTGGTTGTTCTGTACAATTTGGAAAGTGATTTTTCTCTGAACATCATATACACAGAATAGGTTCATATGGAGCAGGAATTAATGTTTGTAACAGTTATAAGGCATACCTTTGAGCCAAATATTTGGTTTTCTTCATGTTATTTGCATGTGCACATAAGTAATCTAGAATGTGTATAGTTCTAGATGGAAAAAAAGTTGGCTTTATTTCCAATGTGATATTTTTACAGACAATACCAAGACTTCCTAGAAGATCTAGAAGAAGATGAAACAATTAGAAAAAATGTCAATATTTATAAAAGTAAGTTTCCCACATTCATTTCATTCTTCTTGAATCCTGCAACATTAGGGAATATTGCATCTATAGACTCTGCAATTCATGGGGTCATATTTTTTTCTTAAATTAGCTTTATTGTTAAGACATGCTTGATTATTAGTGATTTCCTCATCTATTCGATCTGCCAACATTTTTAAAACTATCTGAGGATTAAGATAATTAATTTGGCATAGTTAAAGAGATTATTAGAAGCTGGAATAATGAGAGTTCTAGTCAGTCTTAGGCATGAAAGCCAGCTGGTTGACTTTGGACTGTCACTCAGCCCTAGCAAGAAGAAACTAGGAGTCACTTCTGAAAGTATGGCCAAAAAACCTTCAAATGCTTGTCTCTGCGGTCAGTGGATGCTAGGATTAACTCAATAGATTATAACAGCAATAAGGATACATTGGCTCATAGGTTTCTCTGGACATGGACGTCCACAAAGAACAAATTACAAACACACATCTTTACCCACATATCCATTTCTAAGATGATGTCCTTTGTTTTATAAAAAATTGGCAACAAGACTGTGAGAATTTACCATTGGCTAGTTTATTTTATGGGTGTCTGTTCTCTTCATAGCTTAAACATTTATATGTTTACAAGTTACCGATTTTTTAAGATTGTAACATTCTATACCATGCAGACAGCCGTGGTGTTTGATCTTGTAATAATTTCTTTGTAGATTATGTGCTATGTTCTCATATTGTAGATCCAGTGATACCAGTGGAGAGTGACACAGATGATGAGAACATTCCCCAAATCAGTCTCACTGAAATGCTTGAAGACCTTCAGATATCTGAAGATGCTACAGGGGGAGAAGGTGCCGATATGCTGATGGCATAAGTTAGGAAGTCTTGTTAATTTAATTTTATTCGTCCTTGAGAAAAAGTCCCTAAGAAATCTGTTATAGGCATTCTTGATCTGAAAAAGAAATAATATTGATAAGATTTGGAAGAGATTAAAAAATAAATGCTCCCGAAAGGTATAATTATAATGGTTAATAGAAAAGGAAAAAATGATAGATTTTAAAGTTTTAAATATATACATATGTATATCAAATTGGTATATTTCCAATTATTTCAATAATTTCAATATCTGTTCTCAGGACTTTGGGGCTGTTGGTGTTGACAAGTATTAAACCTCAAACTAGTATTTTAAATACATATTTTACAGCTGACAAATGTATGAAGTCTGATTTGTTCAAATTAGGAAGTGAACAATTTGAATCAAGATTATTCATATTATTTGAAAACAATTTAAAGATCTTTAAAGATTTCAAAGTTTAGTATACTTTATGACTTTAAGTGTCAAAATATCATGCGAGTCATGAAATTATTATGCAGATAATGCAAAGAAATATTATAATTATAATATAATTTATCTAATATCATTTGCATTTTAACATCATGCTCCATAAAATGACATTTCTCTTCTTCTCCAGCTATTGTAATTTATAAACTATTTTATGGTTTAGGACTGTATGTGAATTAATAAACTATGGTTAGGATTAGGATGATAGTGTAATACATGAACCCCACAATTAAGCATACCAGCTAATATTCCAAATATTTAAAACTATATTTGTGTCCTTCAGTTCTTTCAGAATAATGGTGATTGAAATCCAGACAGGTAGCGAATGATCAGGCTAGAATAAACTCTGTTTAACTTCTCCAATAGGACATGATTCTTCAGCCTTCTGTTGAGGTTAGAAATATGTTCATGAGGTAAAAAAGAGTATCTGTATTACAGGTCTGAAAAATACTTTCTTTGAAAAAAAATTATTTGCACAACATACTCTCATTGATAAAAGTGAGTAGACACACAAACCACATAAAAGCATTTCTTTAAAATATGCTGTATTAAGCTGACACCATTTCTATGTATAGAAAATGCTAACTGCTTTTGTTTCGGCTTTCTTAATATGTCATTATCTGATCTTTAAAGAACACCAAGGAAGTCTTTCTTTTCTTATTTCCATAAGTTGATTATAGATGCCCAGGCACAGTTTTTAGAATGCTAATTCATGATTACAGATACCATTTAATTATGCAATGATATTTCACAAGTATTGTCTAAAACTAGACATGTAAGAAAGTGTGACACCTGTGTTTATGAAAGCAGAATGAGGAAATCTAGGAGTTTTGTCCTTGCCAAATCAATTATTTTACAAGTGTGGCAAAGTTTGGGGAAGCTAACATAAGGAGTCTGCACAAATATATTTTTTTCTATTGAATTTCAAGATCTCTCCCTTGAGTTGAGTTGAGGCAGTATCAAATAGTTTTACAATGATTAAAAAATGAACAATTTCCCTAAATAAGGACAACATGCCATAAAATGATTTCATAAAAGATTGATATATAATGCCTCATTTTAGAGTAATTAAATAGAAATGGTATCATTACTGAAAGTTTTTGTAGTTTAAAAAAATGCATTTCTGAATCCAGCAGTTTCCCTCCCCAG